CTCGGTAAGTAATCCTACAATTTTTTGTTTACAGCATAGTTTATACGGATTATTCCCAAAAAATTATACGTGTTTTGGAAATGTTGAGTCGAATTAGTCTAGAATCGATTAATTTTATGGAAGAAAACCTTTCAAACAGCCGTAGTCCGTAAACTTCACACGTGTCGTGCTGTGATTGGCTGTGATTCCTACAAAATTGATTCATAAAGAACGGAACGTATCTACCGTCTTATAGGGGGATCGACTGTATTTGCATTCTGTATCTACACAAAGCATTTAATAAAATAAAATAAAATACTGCGCATTCTTTTATTCAGTAGTGCGCTGAGCAGTTGCTGCCGGAAATGACGTTTTTGCTGCTGACAGTTGAAAACACTTTTGCTAGAGAAAGAGCTATGTCAAAATGGCTGATATAAACAATAATTTTCTTTCTGCTATATTTACACGCGTTTGTTCAATATTATTAGAAGAAAAGCCATTAAGTTCGATGTTGTTAATAAGAAAACGAGGAAATGATGATTTATTTATGGCATTGGCGATGACTGATTCCCAACAACGAAGAAAGCGTACAAAAATCGTTCACGATATTGTACCGCAGTATTCGAATGAAATCTTTAAAAGCCATTTTCGTATGTCACGATTAAAAATCTGCTCATTTAAAACAGCAAAATACTGATTATTAGTTGGTAGACGAAAAAGATACTTTTTCATAGAGGCGTCCATCTTGTAAGCACTATTATTAGCATGGTCAAGAGAGAGGTGCTGCTAGTGCGCTGAAAGCGCACCTTAAGCGTGCTGACAGTGGGCTTAATAATTGAACACATGCGCTGAAAGTGCTTCAAGCGTGCTGAATAAAAGAATGCGCGGATAGAGAAAGAAACTGAATTATGTGATAACCTTAACTCAGTCGTATATACAAATTTAAAGTAAAAAATTTTAATGCATGCTATTGTATGCTAATATAGCTTAAAAGGACAGGCTGATGGCCGAGCGGTTAAAGGGGCAGCATACCGCCCTGGGGCTGATAAATCCGCAGGAATTTTTCGGGGGTGGTCTGTTCGGATATGTCGGGGCTTGTCCCTCACCATCCTGCCGTTCCATTGTGAGCTTGGCCGAGTTAATATAATTATAATTACTGTATATTATTACTTATAATATACATAAAATTTAAGTAAATTTTATATTTATAATTTGTAAACAAGATGAAAAAAATAAATTATTGTATTTACAATTTATTTTTTTTTATATCAAATTTATCTGGCAACACTATCACGTTGTTTATGTGAATATGAACATGTGAAATATTTGGTAATATTGAGCTAAAATCTCCATATAAACACTTTAGAAGAAGAAGAAGAAATATTTGGTAAATATGGAAGCATTAATCGGGGACGAATCTTCGGAATGTGAGCAAGAATTGAGTATTAACGAAGATTATGCTAAAAAATATACCAAATGGAGAGAAAAAGAAGAATTACAAAAACGTTAGTTCCCATCTAATGTATATTCACGTTGTTTTAATTCATCTTTTAATAGTTTAAATTTTGCTTAATTTCAGTTAAAGATCGATATGGAGAAGACGGTTTAAGAGATTCTTCCTCAGAATCATCATCATCTGAAGAAGAAGAAGAGGTATGCTTATATATTATTTGCTTTCTATATCTCTATTTAAAAGCAAACGAATACTGTATTAATTTGCTATTAACACATTTTCAACTGCTTTTTAAAAATGTTAAAATTTTAAAAAACCTTTATATACTTCAGAATGTATATTGTGGTTTTGCTATAAATATATAAAACAAACTCATTCCGACATAATCTATTACCATTAAAAATTAACATTATTTAATTTCAAATTGAAATAAATTATCAGTATAAATGTTGGAATTAAACTTATTTAATAATTATATGTTTATGATCATTAGTGTGATGTATATTATTTACATCCTAAAAATAAAAAATTGAATATGAAAAGCAATCATAAAATGTAATATAATTAAAAAGACATAGAAAATTCTTTATTGGAGTGAATATTAATAATATAAAAGCCATTGTTTGTATGTGAATTCCCTATAACTTCTGCTATTTTTGTCCAATCCTGATGAAACTTTGATTAAGTCTATATTTTTATGTTCCAATGGAAAATATCTACTTAATTTATGGAAATATTAGCTATTAGCTCTAAAAAAGGTTTTATCAATTTCAGCTTAGTGATATTATTTACCTTAAGTTTTATTTTTAAATATTTTGGCATGTGGTATAATTTAAAATAAATTAAATTAAACGTTAAATTTTAAGAAAATAGCTGCATCATTTCCCTTGTACAACAAATTTTTAAAATACTTCCTGTAGTGATCACATGACACTCTATTACCCAATTGGAAGTACAGTCGACCCCCCTATAACGCGGTAGATACATTCCACTTNGAAAGAGCTATGTCAAAATGGCTGATATAAACAATAATTTTCTTTCTGCTATATTTACACGCGTTTGTTCAATATTATTAGAAGAAAAGCCATTAAGTTCGATGTTGTTAATAAGAAAACGAGGAAATGATGATTTATTTATGGCATTGGCGATGACTGATTCCCAACAACGAAGAAAGCGTACAAAAATCGTTCACGATATTGTACCGCAGTATTCGAATGAAATCTTTAAAAGCCATTTTCGTATGTCACGATTAAAAATCTGCTCATTTAAAACAGCAAAATACTGATTATTAGTTGGTAGACGAAAAAGATACTTTTTCATAGAGGCGTCCATCTTGTAAGCACTATTATTAGCATGGTCAAGAGAGAGGTGCTGCTAGTGCGCTGAAAGCGCACCTTAAGCGTGCTGACAGTGGGCTTAATAATTGAACACATGCGCTGAAAGTGCTTCAAGCGTGCTGAATAAAAGAATGCGCGGATAGAGAAAGAAACTGAATTATGTGATAACCTTAACTCAGTCGTATATACAAATTTAAAGTAAAAAATTTTAATGCATGCTATTGTATGCTAATATAGCTTAAAAGGACAGGCTGATGGCCGAGCGGTTAAAGGGGCAGCATACCGCCCTGGGGCTGATAAATCCGCAGGAATTTTTCGGGGGTGGTCTGTTCGGATATGTCGGGGCTTGTCCCTCACCATCCTGCCGTTCCATTGTGAGCTTGGCCGAGTTAATATAATTATAATTACTGTATATTATTACTTATAATATACATAAAATTTAAGTAAATTTTATATTTATAATTTGTAAACAAGATGAAAAAAATAAATTATTGTATTTACAATTTATTTTTTTTTATATCAAATTTATCTGGCAACACTATCACGTTGTTTATGTGAATATGAACATGTGAAATATTTGGTAATATTGAGCTAAAATCTCCATATAAACACTTTAGAAGAAGAAGAAGAAATATTTGGTAAATATGGAAGCATTAATCGGGGACGAATCTTCGGAATGTGAGCAAGAATTGAGTATTAACGAAGATTATGCTAAAAAATATACCAAATGGAGAGAAAAAGAAGAATTACAAAAACGTTAGTTCCCATCTAATGTATATTCACGTTGTTTTAATTCATCTTTTAATAGTTTAAATTTTGCTTAATTTCAGTTAAAGATCGATATGGAGAAGACGGTTTAAGAGATTCTTCCTCAGAATCATCATCATCTGAAGAAGAAGAAGAGGTATGCTTATATATTATTTGCTTTCTATATCTCTATTTAAAAGCAAACGAATACTGTATTAATTTGCTATTAACACATTTTCAACTGCTTTTTAAAAATGTTAAAATTTTAAAAAACCTTTATATACTTCAGAATGTATATTGTGGTTTTGCTATAAATATATAAAACAAACTCATTCCGACATAATCTATTACCATTAAAAATTAACATTATTTAATTTCAAATTGAAATAAATTATCAGTATAAATGTTGGAATTAAACTTATTTAATAATTATATGTTTATGATCATTAGTGTGATGTATATTATTTACATCCTAAAAATAAAAAATTGAATATGAAAAGCAATCATAAAATGTAATATAATTAAAAAGACATAGAAAATTCTTTATTGGAGTGAATATTAATAATATAAAAGCCATTGTTTGTATGTGAATTCCCTATAACTTCTGCTATTTTTGTCCAATCCTGATGAAACTTTGATTAAGTCTATATTTTTATGTTCCAATGGAAAATATCTACTTAATTTATGGAAATATTAGCTATTAGCTCTAAAAAAGGTTTTATCAATTTCAGCTTAGTGATATTATTTACCTTAAGTTTTATTTTTAAATATTTTGGCATGTGGTATAATTTAAAATAAATTAAATAAATTAAAAATATGATTAAAAATTGCAGCCTGGCATTGTGATGATGTCACAATAAATAATTGCTTGTTAATATTAAACTGATTGTGTAAAATGATTTTTTGGTAGGTAATATCTCCATTAGAAATGTTTACCCTGTATGCACGCTAATACTCTGTATGTCCACCTTTCACTTTTAGAATGGTGTTGATCCTATGAGACATACTTTCCTCCAGTTTATGAAGGACTCTTGTTGGTGTATTCTGACATTCTGTCTTCAATACATCTTTCAGCTACTTCATGATCTGGTTTAGATCTAGTACTCCAGTTCATCCTAAAGGTTTTCAGTTAGGTTATGATTGATGCTGTAGGCAAGCCAGTTTTTATAATGCCACTTTCTAAAGCAGTGTTTTTCACCATTTTTTATCTCATGGCACATTTGAACCTACCTATAATTAAGTTTTTACAGAAAAAAATCATGTGATTTAAAGTTGTACAGTGGTACCTCAGGATACGAAATTAATCCGTTCTGAAACTGAGATCGTATCATGAAAATGTCGTAAGGTGGATCATCTTTTCCCATATGATTACATGTAAAACCAAATAATTCATTCCAACGTGAAAAACATACTCAAATTAAAGCCAAGTAATACATTAAAAAAAATAACTGTAGTAAGAAAAACAAATGAAAAATGCGAACTAATGTAACGTCGTATGGTGAGTTNATTGGTCCAGATTCGACCAATCCTGTTGCGACATGAGTTGGCGATGATGTTTTACTGCATTTTACGAGTCTCTTTTAGCGTCTTTACACGAATACGGTTGCAATTTTTTCACCACGATATATGAACCCACGTTATAAGGGGGGTCTACTGTAATGATTTTACAAGCCTGATATTTAAAATGTATTACTGTGCATCAGTTATGTTTTGACAGATAGTACAGAATTATTTAATTGCTTTATTTATAGAAATATTAACTGCTCTTCTTGAATGTCCTGAAATATCTACTCTTCTCAATTCTTCTCTTACTTTCTCATAGAAGATAGTCTGTTGTGCTTGATGGGGTAATTTCTAGTTATCTCAAACTTACAAGTGCTTTCAAGCTTATGCTCATCTTATGCACTAGTGCAAGCTTACACTAGTGCTACTACTACACTAGTGACTACTAGTTATCTCACACTATAGTTATCTCAAACTTACAAGTGCTTTCAAGCTTATGCTCATCTTCAGACTAGTGATTTAGATCACAAACTATAGCAATTGTCATCATAGTAACTAAACATGCAAATATGTTAAAACAAGATATTTAACACCTCTCCTCCTACCTCCTATTGGCCAGAAACAGATTCTACAACTTGTGTAAATTTACTCCATCATTCTCATTCATTAACAATAAAAAGTCTTCTTTATTTTTAACTATTTCTAGGTGTTCATATAACTTTCTCTTCATCGTATTCTTCTCTGATTGGACTCTCCTTAATATATAAGATCAATCTGACTTCCATTCATCATACAATGTCTAGCAACATCAGAATTTTTGTAGTCATACAGTCCACCCCCCTATAACATGGGTTCCTATAGTTCGGATTCCTATATCACGGCGAAGAAATTGCGACAGTATTTGTACAAACATGCTAAAAAAACTCCTATAATTCGGTAAAATCATCGCTGACTCGTGTTACGACAGGATTGCATAAACCGTTGAGTTTAAACGAGCAGCAGACCTACCAAAAACATTTATTATTTAATGTCCATAAAAATTATATTTATATTAATGATGTCTCTAAAGTTCAGCGTATTTTTTGCAAAAAAAATGATTTATCAGGAAGCACGCGAGCACCATTCGATGACAATCTCCATGACGAAAACAAGTTTAAGCAACGGCATAGTCAAACGGTGCACACTCTGTAAGTAATCCTACAATATTTTGTTTATAGCATAGTTTATATGGATTATTCCCAAAAAATTATATGTATTTTGGAAATGTTGAGTCGAATTAGTCTAGAATCGATTAATTTTATGGAAGAAACCTCTCAAACAGCCGTAGTCCATAAACTGCATATGTGCCGGGCTGTGATTGTCTGGACTTCCTAGAAGCTGGATTCATAAAAACAGGAACATATCTACCGTGTTATAGGGGGTCGACTGTATTTTATTGCTCTAACATGTTTCTTGATTCTTTCACGTAATTCCCTTCCTGAATCTCTGATATGGGTTGATGGCTCTTGACAATCACAAAAATAATTCATTAATTTTATTTTCTTCTATTGTTGGTATTTTTGTTTTATATAATACTTGTTCTACTCAATTTTTTTGTCCAGGATACTATATTATATTGATAAAATATTTTTAAAATTTGCTTGAAAAATTTCTGAATATAAGTTATTTTGCCAAATGCCCGGTTCTCTAAAAAAATATCAGAATCAAAGTTTGAACTCACTGGTCTGACATTGATTCTGAGTGGGACAGCATGTGTGCTTGAGTCCCACTCAGGATGTAGATCATTTGCACTTGTGTCATTTTGTCTTAATTTTTTTTTTTACACATTTTCTTTTCTACTGTATATTAAACTATCTTTTTGGCACATTTAACAAGAGATCCAGACTCTGTCTGGAACCTTGCATTTGTATTATATTTTTGTATATTTTGTGCCTCCCATAACAGTATGAAATATTTTTTAAGCCTTGATCATATAGTTAGAAATAAATACAGTAATACCCCGAACTTACGCGATAGGTGGGACCAAGCGATGACCGCGTAATTCGAATTCGCGTAAGTCAGGGTATAATTTCGCAATTTGTGTAAAATCCAAGTCGGATGTATGTAAGCTAATAAATGTTCTCGTTAATGTTATCTCGTCCTTTGATTCGTTCACGGTTACAAGAAATCACCACATAGAGTCTCTCAAGTCTCCGTAGATATAACAAACACAGAAATAAATAACACAAAATAAATTGTAGCTATGTGTCTATTCCGCGCTACACGTCCAAATATGTAAGCTAAACAATAGTGTGGGGGGAATGAGTAATCAAGAGTTGCGTGGCGCTCAAACAAAAGACGAATTGATGAGATTTGAAAATCGCGTAACTCCGGGTTTGCGTAAGTTGGGGTAGCGTAAGTCGAGGTATTACTGTACAAATATTGACAAGGATATGTAATTTTACATTGTTATTAGATATCTGTGAAAATTGAAGATACTATTTATGGGCTGCAATTTGAAAAAATTGTAGACTTATAAATTCCCACTATTGTCCATTTGTGTGTCCTTCTTTAATCTCTAGAGTGGACTTATATAGATGAAATCTGAGAACAGATATGGAAAGCTGAGGGGCAGGAAGCCTTGATTAATTCTATACAAACTTTCAATGCAAACTGAGTCATGTTATTTCAGTTCAAAAATTTTTCCTGAAAGGAGCTAGACAGTTGACTGGCATGATTCTGTTGTTAAAGGAAAAGTATGGTGTATAAGGGCAAGACACTACTAATTTGAGGTGGAGAGCATATATTTTAAATTAAATAAATTAAAAATATGATTAAAAATTGCAGCCTGGCATTGTGATGATGTCACAATAAATAATTGCTTGTTAATATTAAACTGATTGTGTAAAATGATTTTTTGGTAGGTAATATCTCCATTAGAAATGTTTACCCTGTATGCACGCTAATACTCTGTATGTCCACCTTTCACTTTTAGAATGGTGTTGATCCTATGAGACATACTTTCCTCCAGTTTATGAAGGACTCTTGTTGGTGTATTCTGACATTCTGTCTTCAATACATCTTTCAGCTACTTCATGATCTGGTTTAGATCTAGTACTCCAGTTCATCCTAAAGGTTTTCAGTTAGGTTATGATTGATGCTGTAGGCAAGCCAGTTTTTATAATGCCACTTTCTAAAGCAGTGTTTTTCACCATTTTTTATCTCATGGCACATTTGAACCTACCTATAATTAAGTTTTTACAGAAAAAAATCATGTGATTTAAAGTTGTACAGTGGTACCTCAGGATACGAAATTAATCCGTTCTGAAACTGAGATCGTATCATGAAAATGTCGTAAGGTGGATCATCTTTTCCCATATGATTACATGTAAAACCAAATAATTCATTCCAACGTGAAAAACATACTCAAATTAAAGCCAAGTAATACATTAAAAAAAATAACTGTAGTAAGAAAAACAAATGAAAAATGCGAACTAATGTAACGTCGTATGGTGAGTTTTTGTTCGTATCGTGGAGCAAAAATATGTTCGAATTTCATATCGTATCCTGAAAATTTCGTATGCTGGGGCATTTGTAACCTGAGGTACCACTGTATTTGTAAACATTCTATCGTCATATTACTTGCCACTTTACCTAATTCTTTTGTCTATATTTTTTGTAAATGAAATAAAACAGTATTATTGTTCCTTAAAATAACTGCAGGTTACAACAATATTTATTTAAATGAATAATTTTCATTCACATGAAAAAACCAATTAGCATTAAGTCTTCACTTGAATTTAAAAGGGGCATGATAATTGTGTTTAGAAATGTGCCCAATGTCTGGCTATTTATAAGTTAAAATAATTTGAACTAAATATGGACAATTATAGATACATTTTTGATTTAATGAAAATTTCATTTTAAATGAAATAACTCAGTGTTATGATTATATAATTTTTCTTACAAATGTATATTTTTTACTACATTATGTACAGTATATGTTTATTTATTATAAGAATGAAAAATGCATATAATCAATTTAAAAAGATTCATAATTTTGATGTATACACTTATTGTTCTTTGGGCTTCTTTTAAAACTAATTTATTTAATAACCTTAAAAAAATATATATATAGCCCAAAGTCCAATGTATTGATACTAAGACAAATAATTGCCATAATTATTAAATTATTATAATTATTAATTTATATAAGAGATGGCACCTAACATATACCTCTGGTTCCGAATTACTTAATTTCTAAATATTAATTATAGTAGGCCTATAATAATAGCCCAATTAATTACAGCGATTGCTTGGCTTAAAAAATTTTTGTGGCACATCAGATGAAAATCACATCTAAAGAAAGCTGAAACATGATTTGTGGAGGATCTCCTTAATCATACATAGCATTATCCATTTCACAGAGCTCCCAGAAGGTAGGACACTGCATTGTCTAGTTCACTGTACTGAACATTCAGGAGTTTCTCAATATTCAGATTGCCAATGATCATAATTAGCAAGCCCACACCATACCAGCAAAGACAATCCCAAACTATTAAGTCTCCAATGCCAAACTTGACCATGGTTACAACAATTCAGATAAAAAATGTTTGTTAGATGAATGTGAGGTTCAGATTTTTCCCTCAGAGTCAAATAAAGTTAACTGTAATTTGTTGCTTCAAAGAATCATTTTCCATCAATCAGTTTCTCAGGTCTGATGCATTGATTGATGGATGGGTTCATCTCTTTTGCCAATAGGAGATGAACATATTTGTTATCTTTGATGAATGGCTTATGGGCTAACTGCCTTGCAAAGAAAATTGACTAGATATGGTTTTCATGGATTAGATGAGGTTCTGGATGATTATCTTTTTTTAGCCTTTCTGTTCCTCTTTGTCACTTCTGTGAGACAACTGTCTTCTCTCTATGTTCTTACAATAAACCATTGTTTTTCATCCTTTATAATGAAAGCATGGTTGTTGTTGTTGTTGGTTTAGCTGTTCACTATGTCTCAAAGTAAGCATCCACTAAGGTGGCTGTTGATAATGTCTTTCTCAAATTTTGTAAGCTTAGACTGCTGTCATGTGGTATCCACATGACAGTATTCTACACCACTTTTATACTTATTTTATGTACAATCCAGTCACCTGTTCAGTTCTTGTATTGGTTATTAGGATAATTGTAGGAGCATACAATGACTTTTTGGTAGATACAGTAATATCATTTCTATATTACTATTTAATATCAATATGTAAAAAGTAATGTTATAAAATTGATAGCAGAGAAATAATACTGGCTGAATTATGTATTAATTAATAATTATAATTAATAAATCTTCCAAGTTATACATTTTTCAGTTACTGTAACATTTGTTTTAACATTAAATTCAGAATTTCCTCTAATTATAGTCCTATTTGCTTACTCTGTTTAATGTAATCAGTCAGTTATTATTATCAGTTTAGGCAATCCCAAAACGATTACAACTAAAATGTCTATGCAATACAATTAATACAATAAGTAAGTGTCTATTTAGGCTATATTGGAAAGTTTTGAAAATAATATTTTTGTATCTGTTTTAATATTATCATTAATTTTATTTTTAATTAAAATTAACATTTTTATTTCTTATAGGAATTGAATAATGCTATTGAAAAAGATTTCTTGAAAGCTATTAGTTTACTAAAGAGCAAAGATCCTAGAATATATGATAAGAATACTTACTTCTTCTCAGATAAAGGTAATTTTAATGTTTATTTATTTTTATAAAAGTTGTGAGTTATTTTAAAACAATTTATTTACTTGAATACACAATTACCAGAGATATAGAGAAAAAATTGTTGTTGTTTATTATTTTAATTATTTTAGTCTTTATATTATTAATATTTAATTAAATTTTTGCTTATTATCAAATTATAAAACATCTTTTTTCATAAATTCAACTTGATCTAAACACAAGTTGGTGCAAATGGTGCCTGATAGTATTATAAAAACCCACAGACTCCTTAACAGTTCATATGTGCTGGCATGCACAATCTCCTCTTACTGCAGTGCATAGGTGTCATTGTCTAGTTTAGATAACTGTCTTGGTTAGAGTTTATCTGTCAAGCTAGTGTTATCATTATTGAAATGTCTGAACCAATTAATGGCAGTATTTTTGTGTACAACACCTTTACCTTTTGTTTCTCAAATTTGTGATAGTTAATTTTGTGCTCAATCCATTTTTCCAATGATAACATAAAAGATTGAAAAGGATAATGTTTACATCTATTTTAATAAACCCAGTAATTTTGAAAAATTTTTATTATTGTGGAAAACAAGCATACATACCAGAAACAAACTTAAATATACATCACATAAATTATATGAAAATTAATAGATTATTGCTCAGAAACATTGCATCAAATTAAATGTTAAGTTTATGTTTGAAGGCTTTTTTATAACTTGTGTTATTGTTATTTTAATAATTGTTTTATAAATATAATAAATATCTAAAGTGCATGTAGAACCATTAATATGCTATTTAATTGATTGTTTTTAAAAAAAAATTATTTATTATGCATAATAAATAATTTAATTTAAAAAAAGGAAATTGTTCATATAGTCTTTTTTCATTAAAAGTTGTTATAGGTTGTTTAACTGAATATTTAATTTCATATTAAATTTTTGAACTAATGGTAAATTTATTTCAACAGAAGAAAATGACAACAAAGTTAAGAAGAAAAAGAAGAAAGAAAAACCAATGTATTGGAAAGATCAGGAAAGACAAGTTTTGCTTGAAAAAGATGGGTAAGTAAAATAGTTAATTAATTATTATTTTTAATTATAATTTATATGAATTGCACAAATTAAAAAGATAAGAAACAGCATTGAAATAAGAAAAACATCTTGCACATTTGAGGGAGTTATATTACATTTTTGAACTTATCAACAATATTAACTATTTTTGTTCTAATAAGAAAAAATAACAAAACAAAATTACTAATATATAACAATTAAAAAATAAAGTTGTTTTTTAAATATAAAATAATTTCCATAGCTTCAAATTATAAGAAAAAGTCACTTACTTAAATTTTTATATTATTCTTAAAGAACATTTTAAATGAAATAATTTTGAAATAAAAAATACAAAAGATATTTTTCAAAGATTAAGAAATACTGTGTTTTAGTAATAAATATTTTCAGATTTTACAATTGAATACAATTATATTTTATTTATGTAATTTGTCTGGTTAGAAATAAAAAATATTTACATTTTGTTATAATAATTATTTAGAAGAAAATTATTTTGATAATAATTTTTCTAAATGAAAATGTATTTTTATTTAGAGTATTTTCAGATGATGAAACTGAGAAACTCCCTGCTGGTTATTTGCTAAATTCAAAACAATACAAAGAAGAAAGAAAACAACTTAAAAAAAGGTATGTTATTAAATCCATGATATCAAGAAGAATTACTGTAATATATTTTAATAAAAAATTTTCTTAAGTAGTTAAATTTTAATCTTTCTTAAAATAAACAATTAACAATAAGAGAATAATTGTTATGTATGTAATAATTTACAATTACATTATTTTCTCAGTTTAATAAGTTAATGATTAATTCACATTTATTTCTCATCTAAAATGTAATTATCACATTTCACAGAAACCAAGCATAAAAATTGAAGAAAAACTAGTTATCTACTTAAAATATATAGTGAATGTTTATATAATGATAATTAAGACAAAACAAAATTCTTTATTATTTCTGTTTTGCAATTTATAAAACTTTTTTCAATTTTTAAAAGTAAACTTTAATTTTGTCATATTGAAGTTTTTAATATTAAAAAATATTTTCAAAAATTTTAGTTTTATACTCAATAATATTATTTGTATGACTTATGTGCAAACTCTATTGATTTGACTGCAGAGATTGTTCAGTTATTACTTTTACTTCATCTGATCATAGATTTTAATCTTACTTTAGGCATTGATATCTATATTTATTGGAATTTAAAATGGATTATTATATGGAAAAAGTATATTTTAGTCACAGTAATATGTAACATAGCATTATACTAAATTAAAATAACACTAAAAAAATTTGAAAAATGAATATTTACTGAAATTGTGAATCACAATTAAGAAATTGATAAAACATGAAAATAATAAATTAGGGCTTGGCTTAAAGAGCTTAGAGGGCATAGTGAATTCTATTTTTCTGTAGAAACTTTTTATAGAATTTGATCACAATTTATGCAGATATTACATTCTTAGGAAATAGTTTGTTATTTACACAACTGAAGACTAATTAAATATCCTGTAGAAAAATGTTAAAATTCAGAGGTAATTCTGTAAATGCAGTCATCTGAATAAGATAAGTTTGAACTTGAATAAGTTAATTTTTAGCTTATTTTACAGGTAAAATTTTAAAATATTTGTAATATTTAAAAATAGATAAAATTAAATGAAATTTTTAATAAAAATTTACATATACTATTTAAGAAAAAAGTTTTCCTAAAAAGTTCATTGCAGTTTGTCTGTAAAGTATAATGTGATTGTAATTCCTGTGAAGATTTATTTTAAAAATATACAGGTAATCCATAAATAAATATCATTCCTACAATTTCTTGAGTTAACAATCAATTTTGTATGTATTTTTTACCTAGAATAAAGTTAGAGCACATTATTTTAATTTTTATGCATACAATAAGAATTATCACTTATATTTATCATTTAGAAACCATGTAAAATAAGTGTACTAAGATTATACTACAAATTTTTCATATATTGTATATTGTATATCCAATGATTTTTTTAGATAATCTTTTTAGTCTTTAGTATTAAAAACAAATACAATTTTAATTTATTGTGTAATTTTTTCAATAATCTAAAACAATATTTATCAGATATTTAAAATGGTTTGTGGTTGATTACACCTATAACACTATACTTATGGAACTCAAAATCATGTATAAACACAATATTTATGGCATGGTTGACATAAACACTGTGTATACATATTTTGATTTCCATAAATATAGTGTTATAAGTGTAGTGTAACTACAAAATACTGTATGACAATTTACTTATAATTAGCGATTATGGCATTCATGGAAATTGGCCCAATCGCTCCACTCGTGTGCCAAACTTTCATTCGTGCCATAATTGCCTATATTATAAACTAATTGCATAATATACTATTAAATGTTTAATTCATATTGATTTGTCTATAAAATATAAAATCTGTATAATAAGAAAGTATCGCATAATAAATTGTTTGCATACTTTTTTGCATGCAATTTTAATTAAAAAATTAATTATTATTTAAAATTTTCCCTAGTTTTGAAATTTCATCTGATTCTGAAAGTGATGATGAATTTTTAAAAGAGAAAACACTTAATGCAAAAGAAAAAGTAAGTACTAAAGTTATAAATTAACTTATTGGAATTTGAAATGCTAAAATTAATCCAAAGAAATAAAAATAGCTTATAAAAAAATGAATTTTTAATTTATTTTATCAGGTTTCTTACAATTCAATTTTTTTAGATGAAACTCACTACCATTGCCACAAAGCACACTTCTATCCACTATCTAAACATAATTATATGAAATTTTGCTTTTCTTCTCTAGATTACTTTTTGTACTATTTATACCACTTTCATTTTAATAACCACCCACTTATTACATGATATTTTTCTATCAATTCTAAATACAATAAATATTATTGCAAAATCTATATGCACAGTTTATGAAGCATTCTTGTAATTATTCATGTCTATATTTCAGCAATATTTATACAGAATGTTTCAAAAAGAATCATCCGATTTAAAAAAATCATAACTATTCCGCTCTTAATCCATTTTGATTGAACCATGTACTGTTAGAAAGAGGAAATTGTTGAGTTTTTGTGCAATTTCTCGGGAAAAGGTGTGCAATCCCTTTCTTTTCTTAGAGAACACTGTTACAGAAATCGCATATTTCAATATGCTTGAAAACTGGCTTTTCTCACTGTTAAAGACCAATTCAGATGACTTTATTTTCCAGCAGGACTGGGCACCACCACTCTGGAGCCTGGAAGTTTGAGAATTTTTGAATACAAAAATTCCTCAATGATGGATCAGCCGTATGGGATCTAATGATTCAGCTTTACATAACTGGCCTCCTAGGTTGCCGGACCTCACTGTTTGCGATTTTTTCTTGTGAGAGTTTATAAAAGACTTTGCTTATGTGCTTCCTCTTCCAGCTACAGTGATTGAACTGCAAAACTGCATAACAGCAGCAGTGGATTCAGACATGCTCACAAAGGTTTGGGATGAATTTCACTACCGTTTGAACAGATGCCATGCATCCAAATTATAGGTGCTCAATATGCATGCATATTGAGCATCTATAATTTAGTATGTAAAAAAACCTGAAGCTTAGCCATATAAAATTAATCTTAAGTGTGTATCTTCATTACTTTTCATAATATAATCATTTTAAATCAGATGATTCTATTTGAAATACCATGTATACTGTTTTCTATAATATATCTATAGTCAGATTTATTATAGCAAAAAAAAGTTTAAAAAATTGTGTTCAAATATAATAATTTAGTGATATGAACAAGCTGCATATTAGTGTAAGTTTTATGTAAATATTTAACTATACTGTAAGATATTAGGAATACATACATGTAAACATAATTTACATTCATATGCATGCATTGATTTTAAAAGACTACAGTTAAAACTTTTATACAATAACAGTGTATATATAGAGTAGAAAACTTTTAAAAATTATGGACATAATCGTTATATTAATCAGGATTATAGTAAGTCAATACAGGTAGCCCTCGGTTTACACCACAGTTCCATTTATACAAAAGCCAGTGCAAATCGAATCGGCGTAAAATGAACCCATATTTAGATTGATAGGGTTAGGTTTTACATAAGTGAAAAATATTCAAATAATTTTGTTTATTAATACAATATAATACAAAATACAAATAAATTTAATTTTTAAAATGTATTTTTCTTAAAATAAAGTGAAATGTTTTTATTAAAAAATCTTAGTTTCGGATCTCTTACATTTTTTGGAAAAAGTATCCATCTTTAATTGTTTACATTTTTGTTTTCTTTCACTGAGAATTTCGGAATATGGTTGAATGGATGCGATGATGCTCCTTTTTACATTTGCACTTCGTTCCCAATCATTGTCTAACTCACAAAGTTCATCTGTCAAACTTTCCATAGTTGAAAGGATACATTAACCCAATGTAGAGCTACGGACGAGTGGAGACACTGATTGGTCGACCACTGGTCGCTGTAGCACATATATAGAGTCAGTTTGAGCGGGAAAATTCAAGGTGGCTAAGGAGAGGTAGATATCATCTGACTGACAAGAAGTAGATATCATCTAGCTAATAAAGTATCACCTGGCCAATGAGAAGTAGATTTGTCTCACTAACGTTAGTTTGTGATCACCAGAAGTGCTAATGCGCCATAAGGTGTTTTCCTGAACGAACTGATACGGGATATGTTCATTGGCGCTATGGATTCGGATGCCATTTATTGGACTATTAAGTTTAATAACTTGACTCATGGGTACCTAAACGTTTAGTATTTTAATATTAATTTAATGCAAATGTATACATACCCAATAATATTAAACAGAAAAAATATATATTCAATAAAAATCTTTGTTTTAACAAATGTACAATGTCACGGCTTGGTAAATACGTCAACACTGAAATGAAAATCAGTCTAGCATAGGGAAAATCGGGGAATTACACCGCAAAATGGTGAATTGCACAGCGGCGTTATTGTGAATCGGCGTAAATTGAGCCAATGTACACCGAGGGCTATCTGTATATGAAAGAATTTGGATGTGAAAAATGGTACATTATGTGTGCTAATAGCTGTTAGCGTGCATTATACAGCAGTATAATTCAATTTAAATATAACATGCACTTTATTTTGATTAAAATAAACAAAGAAGAAAACTTCTTAAGATACTTAATTCTTCCATTTTCTTTATTATGCACATAACATTTTTTTACGTCTGAACCATCTTTCATGTCATGAAAACTTTAAAAGAAAATATTCATATATGTTCTATTATACTATAAGTAAATCAGTAAGTTTAATTGCTTATTGAATTTTTCTTCAACATTAATCAGTAAATGGTTAAATGGCTAAAAACTTCAAAAAAATAAATGATAATATTAATTGCTTTTGTATTATCAAAATTCATTCAGTTTGAGAGTTTTTTAAAGAAATTTGTTGTTTTGAATTTTTTATTTTTATTATAATAGGCTTTGTAGCTTTTGAGGATATAAAGAACTACATATGAAACATTTTAAAGAACTTTAACAATCTATGTTTGATAGATTACTTGTCTATGATAATGATTACAATATTTATTAAAATTGAATAAACATATTTGTGATTCAATATGAAATAAGTAATATAATAATTTTCAGAAAATATATTTTCAAAAAGGACACAATACTGTTCGATGTATATGGATGATATGGTGTAAGGTATCAAGAGGTCTCAATTTTTGATTTACAGCTATTTATTATTTTCCATTTTTGTTTCAGTTATGTTGAATTTTCGGATCGAGTTGTATTGGTTAGATATTGACCGTGTCTCGACATTTTTCAAGTAATATGTGAGAATCCAGGGTTAAGAGAGGATACTCTTACCTGTTATCGGCTTCAGATCTACAAGATCCACCCACTTTGTCAGTGGATGGGATCTTAAAAAAATTATGTCATTTTATTAACAGGAAGTTCTTATGATCTTCCTTTTGTCTTTCTCCTGAAATCAGCCTAATCAGTGCGTTAGGTCTGCAATATGAAGTTCTTATACTTTTGTCCAAGAGGGAGGACTCATGGACTCCTGATAAGATGTCAGCATATATTTAAGATCAAGAACAAGATCATTTAAACAAACTAAAGCAACATTTAATGAAAATAACAAAAATAAAAATACAAATAGGTGGTCAAATACAGGTAACTCCTAAAGTCCCTAATTAAACACGAGAGAGTTTACATCATTATAAACATACTTTCTTGATTAACAATTGTTGATCTTTCATTGGACGACAGTTTGGGTGAGTGAGGATGTCGGGGTAGAAGAAGATCAGCTTGAATTGGACCAAGTAAAGGAGGCCTGGAGGAGGATCACTAAAGACTGGAACAAAATGGCAAAAACAACCTCGAATGGCAGGAAATTGTCCTTTTTATATACATATCCTTTCCAATCGAAATTTGGAATTTGTATCATCTGTCTGGACATGCAGATGAGTAAAACAGTCAGATGTTCATTAAAATTTGTGATAATCTCTTGTGAAAGGAAGTTTGATTTTCCCTTTCGTAACAAAAGTGTCATCTTTTTGACGGAAAAAATTACTTTAATTTAATTTCTTTGATTTATTAATATAGTTTTATATTTGAAGGAAAAAGGTTTTTCGTATCTAATTCATGAAGGGGGTTATCTAGATTAATTGGTAAAATTGATTTTTCGTAATAAAATTTATACTCTGTCTCCAGATTCTCACAAATGCTTCCTTTGCATAATAAATGGAATTGCATCCCACTAATTTAAATAGTTTAGTCATACTTATAAATAGAAAATTATTTTGGATTTATTCCTATAAAAGGATGTTGATAATGACACAAGTTAAGCAAAAATTTATTTCTTGTAAGCATGTATAGTATGCAAATCAGCAATGTATAAAAGGACAGTGTCAAACTGACACAGGAAGCTGTTCTTCACTCCTGCTGATCATTGGGCAGCTGGTAAATTGTAAATACTGATTAAAGGTTTCTGTCAATTCTTTCCTCAATTCCTTAATTTTTTCCTTAATCAGCTGGTAAATTGTAAATACTGATTAAAGGTTTCTGTCAATTCTTTCCTGTAAATGTTTTGAGATTTTGAGTAATTGTTTGTATTTTACTAATAATTTTATTATTGTAACTACTGGACTGAAATTGTAACACTTGGATTGTGCAGGGTGGGGAAGAAAGGATGGACGTTTTTGAAATGGCTAGAACTCACCACCAGGTGGAGTGACAGATGTGTGGCAGGTAGTGTGAAAGTAGTGAGGTCTTAGCATTGTCTTTTCAGTTGAAGGCATGGAGCTGTGGATGATAGAGCACCATGTGTTTATGTATGACTGAGGAAACAGTCGTATGCAAAGGGGATCACTCAGTCATATACATCTGATGGGAATATGTTTTTGCATCCTTGCATACGATGGAAATGTATTCCCATCAGACATGTGTGGTTTCAACAGGATGGGCAACATACCACACAGCTAGAACATCAATTGACATTATTTGTCATCTTTTCCCTGGTTGCCTCATTTTCAGGTTCGATGACATTCATTGGCCTTTTCATTTGCC